GAAAAAAATTCCCTCGTTCCCCGTAAATGGGGGAAACCTCCAAAAAAATTACGAATTTAAAAATCGCTAATTTTCGAAATTTTTTCAATTTTTTTTACTTAAAAGTGCCATAACTTTTTCAAAAATAAACATATCAATATAATTCTTTTTTATATAGATGTGTATATCATTATCTTTCGTTTAGTATATTTTTTTCATAAATTTAACCCTTAACCTGCCCACAAGGGGGGATTCAAAATGACAACTTTTTCACAAAAAATTTACTTTTTCAACTTAACTTTTGAAAGTGTTCCGGAAAGTCTGACAATTTTATATATATCTTAAATTAAAGCTAATGTAATATTCTTTATTATGCAAAAAAAAATTTCGGACTTTATTTTATCTTCAAGGTGAAAATGGCTACCGAATGCTATTATTGTGTGAAAATTCTCGATTTTATTTTTTACATTTTTAACTTTATAATGCTATGACATATTGAAAAGTGTATGGATCAACATTATTTTTTTATGAGAAATAATATTTTTTAATAATCCCTTTTTCATTCTACATACTTTATCTTAATTAGGATTTTAATAATGAAATAGCAGATCATGTAGCTTTTGGAATAGTCCACTAATTTCTTAAAATTAAACACTATCAAAAGATTTGCATTGAAGCGTTTTTCATGATAGTGATTTAAAATCACTGTCAGATATCATAATACTTGATCCATCTACGTCACCACTGTGCCGCGACCCCCCTGTGCTGGGTTTTTTCAATTTTTTTTCTTAAAACTATCATTACTTTTATAATAATAAACAAATCAACCTAATTTTTTTTTATACTAGAACCATAGATTTTTACCTTTTATATGATATAATGTTTTTGAAAATCTAATACTTAACCTGCTTACTGGAGGGGATTTAAAATGGCAACTTTTTTAAAAAACTAACTTAACATTTGAAAATGTGTAACATGACAAAAGTATCTTGTTATTTTTTTTGTCTATTTGTATATATATATATATTTGTTTTGAGCCGAATGCGGACTGCGACGGCGTTTGTCAGTAATATTATTATGATAAGGTATTGTGATTTGTTTATGCGCGTGCGAGATAGTCAGCTGTGTACTACTTCAGACCGGTTAATGGACGGCATTTGTGTGTACATTCACCCCTCTCCTTTCCTATCTTGAACGTCATTTGCACTGCTCACCGCATACATTGTCGCCTTATTTAAANCGCCTTGAACGTCATTTGCACTGCTCACCGCATATATTGTCGCCTTTTTTAAATTGTTCTTAGTAATTTCCGGCACTGGGTATTAGTTTTTTTTTTGACCCCTACTCCAAAGGCTAGCCGTGTTGTCGCCAACAGACCGCCGGGTCAAACGTCGGACGGGTTGTCGGAAATTAGCCATCGTCGGAACTGGTACGCTAATTTTCGTCCGTAGCGGTNTTTCGTCCACAGCGGTTTTTTTTTTGTTGTGTGCGCTGCAACTGTTAATTATATATATATATTTTCGCGAGTGTCCGCTATGTTGTAATTATGTAAATTTTGTGTTTAATGGCGTCGGCTAAACCTGCCTCCAGCTTCTTGAGCCCTTAGGGGCTGGTAATGTATAGTTTATTATATAATGTTTTGAGCCAGTTATTTTTTAGTGCGCCGTGCCATAAGCACGTGTGGCGAATTTTTTTTATATTTTTTTATATAGTTTTTTTGTGTAGGTGTCTCTATATTTTTTTATTTAGGTCCCTCAACATGGCAGGCGTGTTCCCATACCACCTGTCATGTTATATATGTTTTTTTATAGGTTTTATATGATGTTTTATGGGTGATATGTATATATTATTGATACAATGTGGTGACGTAGTGCATTTTATTCCGGGGTGTCCCAACGTCTTGCAAGCTAAGCCTAACTGCCAAAAACCAGTCGCTTACTTGGGACGTATACCCGCCGTGCTTAGCGGCAATGCTGCGATTAATAGCCGGCGGGTACCCGAAGACGTTCATCGTATTCTCTAACAATAAAAGTGTAGGTGTAACTTTTTTTTTTTATTAATATCTGTTTTTTTTTTCTCTCTTTCTTTGTCCCCTTTAATTTGTAGACGAGGTTTTTTGACCATTCGGTTTTTTGCCTCGTAATAACTTAATTTTTTGTTTTTTTTTTACTTAATAAAGTCCCCTTAATTTAACTTAACCATCATCTGTTTCTTCTTTTTTGCGTGTTCCATCTTCAATGGACTCGTGTATTTTTTTTTCCTTTCAAAAATCAACTCCCCTAGTTTCTAAGGTACGGGCAACGGCCTTGGATAAGGTCATCCCTGATCTATATGGTTATGTGACAATTGTCACGAGGTTTTGGTGTACATCTACTATCAACGACTCAACGGACATCAACTTTAATATTCATTAATTATATATTTTTTTCTAATTGTTTTAATATAAAAAAGTTAATTTTTTTTAAAATCCTACTGTGGTCCGACAATATACTGTCTCGCCCAGTAAGTTGGCTACCCTTTACTTATAACTTTGTAAAACGCCATGAAAGTTACAAATTTTTCGTTGAGGCCAATTAATTTGATTTTATATATTTGTAACCTTTCAAATGTTAAGTTATATTATGTTTAATTACACATTTTTAAGTTATTTGATAATTTTATAAATAATGACAGTGACATTATTATAATTACTTTTGCGATACTGTTTTTTTTTTGCCATTAGCAATATTATTTTGATTTTTTTCGTGCTAAATAAAAAGTACAACACCAATTATTTCTCTAAAATTGTGTCATCTACGTCATTGTTACGCAGCACCTGACAACTGGCTCCCCGGCAAGGATCAGAACCGGAATGACTTAAAATAAGGTATGAAAATACTGCTGATAATTTACATAATTTCTATAAATTTTGAATTTTTTTTAAAGGGACAGCAAAATTTTCCTCACCTTACCTTTACTACGTGTTATTTTAAATTTTGAATTTCCCAGCCGGTCATCTAGATACTATCTACCGCACTATATACCCAAATTCTGTGTATTTTTAAATACGATACAAGTGGATTGATGGCAATTACTGCATCTATATACACACGTGCACCGACAACTTTGAGTTGTGATGTAATCAAGGTAATTAGGTGTAAATATAATAATAATTAAGTAATAATACTGGGTGCGTTTATTATAAAGCAGAACAATATTATTTACAATTAACAATAGTTTAAATATAAAGATTCAAAAGATAAATAGATGTTTAATAAAAGTCCGTTTTCACTAAAAATCAATGGTGACCGATGACATAAGATAATTTTAAATCAGTCTCTATCTTTTTGTCCAGCGCCCGAGCGACCGGTTCGCAGCGCCCGTCCGCCACCCCACATAGCGCGACCTGTCGACCGTGACAGTTGTAACCACGTCGCGAATAAACTCATTTAATTGTTTCGATAATACCACTATCCAGGTAGAGTAATCAAACATACTACAGCGATCGTTACATTTAACAACCGGATCCCATAAAACCGTTTGTATTATTATAATCTCGACCATCAGAATCATAAAGATTACGATTACTAACGAAATAATTTTTCGCACATACAATCCAGTGTCATAGTGCTATACTATAACAATATCACAGCAATAACAATAATAATAATTCAAACGGCCCGCATTGTTGACGTTCATAGCGAACACACAGCGCATATTCTCGAGATTGTTGATACCGTATTGCCGAAAAACAAACAAGCGCTTACGCTCTTTATTTTGTTTATTTTCGCGAAATATGGTAAGGAACGCTCACTATGTCTGGTAAAACACATTTACAGATGAACCGTCGTCATTTATTGTGTGTATGCGCTTATAGAAAACTAAATGGACCCACGACAAAAAGCGATTTGTTAGCCGTCTTGGACAATAGGTTACATAACGAAGGGCTAGACCCATCGAACTCGATTCTACCCGTTTTTAATTTACCCTAATTTAAACGTAATGATTAGAAGCATAAGATTTTTTTTTTAATACTTTGTTATTTATTTTCGTGCTAAATGAATGGTTTAACAACGATTATTAACCTAAAATTGTGTGAAAAATGTCATTTCAATGTAGCACCTGACAATTACTAACAAGTAAAAAAACGAATATTTACATAAAAAAAATATAATAATAACCATAGAAATCCAGGTTAAAATGAAATTCACACAACACATCAACGAAAAAAATTATAAATGAAACTAGGTTCAGAATATTTCTGAATATTAGATATTATAGATTTTTGGTGTTTCGCGTATTCATTAAACGATAAATAAAAACATTGATTTACGAAAAAAAAAAAAATGATAGACGGTTTATTATTTAAACACTTTTAGAATATTTACAATATATGCACGCACTACGTGTTCTAACTGTCAATTTGTGACGCACTAACTAACTTATGACTGATTGGTTGTTGATTGATGTCGCGCCGTTTTATAGTGTGTTGTGTTCTAGAATATTCTTTTATGGGGCGATCGAGAACATTCGTGCTATATGAATTTTATGTTACCTATCCGTTGCAAAGATTCTCGATCGTTCCATGGTCGCAACATTTGTAACTACAGATTATAGCTATACGGGATATAGTTCTAAATATTTCAATTGTAGTATCTATTTAAACACCAAGAGTTTCATAGAAATTATTACTATGATTTTTATTGAAATGATTTATTTCGATTTTAAATCAAAAAAGTTATAACAAATTTAAGTAAAAATAACAATCTTAAAAACGCCGATGTGTGTGTAGATGATTTGGGAAATTGTGTCAAGTGGAAGTTAAGATAAGAGTGACTGTTTTATGTAATTTGTATTATGGCGAAGAAAAATAAGAAGAAGATACATATGTACATATATTTCTTTTCTTTAAGATTATGTTAGTAAAGAAACTCGTGGAACACTGACCCCGATATAAAAAGTAATTCATAAAAATTAGGATTAAGCTAAAGATCATAAGTGTCTCCACTAATCTAAAATTTATATACTGTTTTCATTTATATTTTTGAGTTACAACACTTTTAAGTAATCGGTAGATTATAACAAAAGTAACATCAACAAATATTTCTATTATCATTCCCTGGTTAATTGTTCTTTGATTTATAAGTACAATATGTGAATAAATATTTATTAGAGTAATAAAATTTAGTATATATTTGATATTCAATAATTAAATATTGTATTATCCCCAAGTAGAGGCGAGGAAAAAGATGAGAGGACGGTGACTAAAATTCAACTAGATTAAAATCATGTTCTTTGAAGTGTATTGATAAAAAAAAATTGGTCCAAGGGGAACTGAGAATTTTTATGGGAAGATATGAAAAAAACGAACAGCATCACAAGAAAAATTTCGTATCGAAACTAAAAAAACAATCAAAAAGTTGTTAAAAATGTAATCAATTGAGCGTGTTGTAAAATTTATTATAATTAGAAAATAAGGTGAAACCCAATACATTTTTTTAAAAAGGTTCATACAGTAACATGTTATTAAAAAAATTTGATTTCTGTAGGCTGATAGTAGACTTCACAAATAGAGTCAAGAAATTAATAAATAACAAAGTAAAATTATTTAATTTTGTAGTTAAAACTTACTATCATATCAAAACTAATTTGACAATAATTACTTTAAAAATGTTAGAAATGAATGATTTTAATTGTCTATATAGAGAATTTTGGTTAAGCAACTTTTTATTTGATAAAGTCATAATATTTGATTTTTTTTTTTTTAATTTTAAGAATAATATCTCTAACTAGACACTAGTTTTGGTCATTTAACGTATCGTTGACGTATCACAAAAATAAAACCCTATAGTGAAATAATTTTGATATGAAAAAGAAATTCATTCTCACAAGGAGAGACTACAGTAGTGAGATTCTATGATATTTATAGAAGTTATTCAATATAAATGAGATTTATATTAGAATTAATTAATAGAAATATTAAACAAATTTTGAATTAAGAAAATAATGCAATAAGAACCTGAACTTCATACTCTGAACGTGATAGACTAAAGTCTTACATAGTTTGGCAGATAAAAAGGACAATTTAAGCTAGTTCACACATTTAAAATCGTTTTTCTTAACTTCTGGAGGCAAAATATTCCAAATAAGTTTAACTTTATATTCAATGTTTATTAGATTTATGTAATATTTATGAAAATCGGTGGCCTCATTATTTTGGCTAACTTGTGATATTCTATAAAAAAAATTAACCTGTTTGTACATTTTTAAAAATTTAATAATGGTGTACAATTGACGTATAAAAAAAAAGTTATCACTAAGAAAATTTTATATGAAATTTGTTTGAAGGGGTAACCCTAAACTTTTTTTATGGCTTTCAAAAACGTACAATATTAAAAAAAATACCATGTTTTTTTTAACTATTACAGATATTTTTATATAGAAGATAGAATGTAGGGTCAAATTTTTTTTATTTGTATGTAAATAAATTACTTGAAAAATTTTAAGTCTATTAAAATTCATTAAAATGTATTACTATAAACTCAAAGTTTAGTTTTGATCATTAACAACTTTGTTAAATAATCGTAAAATTGAGGGCTTTTTTTCTATTTTCATCGACGATAAGTTTCACTAGATTAAAATAGAATTATTTTGACGCATTTGTTAATTTAATCGGTCCACTTAAATGTGAAAAATTTCATGAACAGAGATAAAAAACGATATCACAGTGGGGTCGCCGCACAGTGTTTGCATGACATAGTTAGCACATGTATTATCGTAACTTAAAAATTAAATTAAAAACAAAAAACCCAGCACAGGGGGATCGCGGCACAGTAGTGACGTGGTATAGTTGGATCAAGTATAATGATATCTGACAGTAATTAAAATCACTATCATAAAAAACGCTTCGGTGCAAATCTTTAGATAGTGTTTAATTTTAAAAAATAGGTGGATTATTCCAAAAGCAACATGATCTGCTAGTTCGTTATTAATATCCTGATTCAGATAAAGTATATCGAATGAAAAAGGGATTAATAAAATTATTATTTCTCATTAAAAAATTATATTGCTCCATACACTTATCAATAAGTTATATCATTATAAAGTTAAAAATGTAAAAAATAAAATGGAGAATTTTCACACAATAATAGCATTCGGTAGCTATTATCACCGTGAAGACAAAATAAAGTCCGAAATTTTTTTTTGCATAATATAGTACATTACATTAGCTTTAATTTAAGATATATATAAAAGTGTCAGACCTTCCGGAACACTTTAAAAAATTAAGTTGATAAAGTAAATTTTTTGTGAAAAAGTTGTCATTTTGAATCCTCCCCTGTAGGCAGGTAAAAAGTCAGACTTATAAAAAAAATATACCAACTCATAGGTAAAGACATCATGCATCTATAAAAAAAAAATTATATTGATCCATACATTTTTTAAAATGTTATAGCATTATAAAGTTAAAAATATAAAAAAGAATTTTTTTACAAAATTCGTATTTTTTTTATAAAATTTGATGTCTGTTTTCACCATGAAGATAAAATAAAGTCCGAAATTTTTTTTTTGTATTATAAAGTATATTACATTAGCTTTAATTTAAGATATATATAAAAGTGTCAGACTTTCCGGAACACTTTCAAAATTTAAGTTGAAAAAGTTCTACTTTCTACATGCATTTTTTAGATTTGAACCCCCCTCGAATATAGGAAAATGGTCCGATTTAAAAAAACAGACACAAAAAAAAAATAAACACATCTTAGTAAAACCAATACCTTCTCAGCTTCCCATCGAAGCTAAAAGAATTTGATTGATTGAGGGTAAGAGTGAAAGTTAGAGTGAAAGTAACTTTTGATTCGAGGGTTATAAAATAACAATATAAATATTCTTATGGATTTAAAAATCTTATCTGATAATATTTCTTCAGTTGTTATAATAACTTTAGTGATAAAATTAATTAAGTGATAAATAAAGTAACACAAATTCAAGTTTTAGTTCACAAATCAAGCACGTAAGAACTTCGACAACGATGATCGCAATATCCACGAAACGATATGTAGAGCACGAAATGAACAGACCAGAATAAGGGTTTTCTCTGCTTTTTATAATACTTTTTATCCCCGAAAAATCATCATTGTCTAATTCATACAGTATAACTGTTTATTAATAAATTAGCATAAAATGCAGAGATTATTACAGATAAATATAGTATATAAATCATTTTGACATTAAATGTATATTATATATATAAGATAGTTTTTTTTACACATAAAATTAGGATTAATAAAATGTATTTAATTATTAAAATTAAAATTAAAAAATGGCAAAAATAATTTATAGATTTCTTTTTGAATAGAATTTTCGGAAGGATATTCAAAGTGACTATGAATTGATATATGATTGAATCGTGTATATTACAATGTAACTAAACAGTATGCGTTTGTTGACTATTTTTCTTAAATGTTTATTTAAATTATTTCTCTTTGAAAAGGATTATGTCCTTCTAAGAATAGAATGTATAATTATCCCATGTTATGGTAGTAACGAGTATATTACGACAGTATAGATAATATCTAACAATGATTAAAATCGCTGTCATAAGAAACACTTGGATTCAAATCTGTAGATAGAGTTTAACTTTTAAGAAATTGGTGGATTATTAAAAGCAAAACTCAAAACCAAAATTAATTAAGGACAAGTTGCAAACAAATCATTGCCTGTGGCAATGATTTTTACTGAATTGGCAAAGTCGTATTCGTTTTTTGATAAAATTGGCAATTTAAACTGATTCAAAAGGTTAAAATTAATTTTTTCGACTTCAAAGAAAAAAAATTGAAATATGTTTAACATTATATTCTATGTCAATTAGTTTCATATAATGTGCATGACAATCACTATACCCCATTATAAGGAATATTAAAATAAATTTAAATACAATACCAAGACTCTTATAACAAAGAGCATATTTTTGAATATGATAACCATGTTCACTATATTTCGAATATTTTTTTTTCGTAGTATAGTACATTACATATAACTTAATTTATGGTAAAATAAAGGTATCAATATTTCCGGAAAACTTTCAAAAATTGAGTTGAAAAAGTTTTACTTGTGTCTAAAGATTGTTATTTTGAATCTACCATATGGTCAGATGATAAAGGGTCAGATTTTCAAAAAATTTATATCAAATGAAAGAGAAATATCTATGGTTTCAATATAATTATTTAGATTTGTTCATTTTTCAAAAAGTAATGATAATTTTTATTTAGAAAAGTTTAAAAAATGACGAAATTTACTAATATTAAAAATCATAATTTATTGGGAGATTTTCAGTATTTTCGGGGTTTGAAGGCAAAGTTTTCAATTTTTGAGGGTAGTTTCTTCAACTAGATATGATTATTGATCTTTTGACATTTGTCGAGAAAAATCAGTCCAGTGAGAACTTAGAAAAAGTAGTGATAGACACAAAAATATAAACACATAATGGTAAAATAATACCTTCTCAGATTCGTACAGGATCGAAATAGCAAATAAAGATATTTATCCTGTTTTATGAAGAAATTATTAAAAACAATAATTTTTGTTCCATCATAATATTTCTAAGTTTTTCAGAATGTTTAACTAGATCTTGATTAACTTCATGGTTTGATTTTAAAATAAGTTATAAACTACTAGAGTTTTTTAGAATTTTATTTTACACATTTTAAATTAAATTTTGACATATGAATTGTAAATTACATTAAGCAAGACATCAAATAGTAAAAATATTTCTTCAAGTTCAAATTTGATAAAATATAATAAGTCCAAACTAAACTACTAACTTTTGAGTAGATTTATTTATTTTATTTATACTTAATTTTCCTTCTAAACGCTGTTTTTAGAACAATATAATGATGGAACTTTTTTATAATCGTGTTTTTTAAATATTCATAATAATATGCAAAAAATAGACATCAAAATGAACTTATAACATTTAACGCACACACTTATATAACAACGTTGGTGGTTTATTTTAAACATTTACTAAAAAATATATATAACAGTATATTATTAAGTCTAGAATAATATTAGAAAGGTATGGAGCAAGTTAAACAAAAATAGCACAGTGTCTACAATAAAATAAAAATGAGATATAAATCACATTGCTGCAATAAAAATAATAATGAAATAAAATACATGATTGGACTTCAAAAATTACAAATTTATATAATTTTAAGTGAAAGCTAAAAAAACTATGAGTATTTTTGAAAATTTAAACAAATAATACTTTTACGTATTTTTTATTCATCTAATACAAGGAATAATATTCACTTATGTCATAATGAGACACGTTATTTGAGAGATAAAGAACTACATTTTTGATTTTTTCCAAATCTTCTTCTTTACCAAAAACTGTGTTTTTTAATTGTGCCCTGTACCGTAATAATTCTAGCATTACATCACCTAAATCGTATGACTCATTGTCTAAAAAATACAACAATATAAATGAAGTAATAGATATTTTACAATAATTTGTTAGATAATTACTGTCTTCATCAATGTGCCTTTTCCATTCATTTATCATTTCTACCTAAAGTATACAAAATAGTTTATTGTAGACATAAAGAAAAAACCACATTTTTTGTACGCACGCCCAGTAATATTATGTATATAATGTATACAAATGTTGGTGGGTGGAGGCACTTATAACTAATGCAACAATGAATAAATAAAATAAAATAAATAATAAGATTAAAATAAAATTGTGAACAACTATTTATCTACAATGATGTTGATGACTGTTTGATGTAAGTGGAAGGTGAATAAATTCGTTGGTATGACAATCAAACCAGAAAAAACATTCTGTCACGAACAGTACTTCAAAATGTGCGAATGTAATTCACGATGAGCGTATCGCAAGTATTTTAACAACTACGTGATCAAAATCATTGTAAAACCATGTAGCAAAATGAGCTAGGATGGAGGCGACAACGCAGAATCCAAACAAGGATCAACAGTTACTCGGTGTCGTACAAAAATTGCATACGTAATCATACAACGAATATAAATCTCTCGCACAACTGGCGGTGGTAGTGAGAGTGGCGTATCTATTCACAAGAAAATAAGTTAAATTACATGGGATTCATGTGACCATTGCGTTTTGTACGGATTCATTCACAAACAAATGATTTTAATGATAATTAAAACAAGACTGGCGCTATGCTCCAATATAATTACTACCGCAATCGCAATATAAATATACCAGTATTTCTCGACACATTACAAACCGGTCATGAAAGGCGTCCGAAGTTAAAACTGAAACGAATTCGATGAGTACTGCCTTTTGTCTTACACAAATCATACAAGTAAAAATAAATTGCCGTACAGCGTTACGACCAGAAATTATCATAAACTTTCTTCGTGTTATTTATAAAATCAACTTCGGTTTCGCATGTAAATAATCGGTGCGATAACATTGAATTATTAAATGCATAAGATGAGAAATTTTAGGTAAAAGTATCGGTTTGCATTTGGCTGAAATGGGTTTAACATTATATTCTATGCCAATTAGTTTCATATAATATTCAAGACAATCAGTGTACCCCCTTATAAGGTATTTTAAAATAAATTAAAATACAATACCAAGAATTTTAATACAAAAATAGCATGTTTTTTAACTAAATCAAACAATTGCACATAGGACTAAGTAGTCGGGACAAATTTTTTCTCTTGAACTAATAGTACATTACATTAGCCTTATTTTAACATTTATTTCATTTTCAACACTTAATTTGAAAAAGTTAAATAAGTTGCTATTTTGAATCCTCCCTGTGGATATATAAGGGTAAGATTTAAAAAAAAATTATATCAAATGAAAGAGACATATATATGGTTCCATTATAAAAGAGAATTATTTAGATTTGTTCATTTTTCAATATGTTATGACAATTTTTAATCAGAAAAGTTTAAAAAATATCTAAATTTACTAATTTTAAAAATCATAATTTTTTGGGATATTTTACCTATTTACGGGGAACGACGAATAGTTGAGAAATATCTCCCCAGTGAGAGCTGAGAAAAAGTAGAAGAAAAAAATGAACATATCAAGTTAGATTAATCGAATTATAGAATTATAGATTATTCGCATCGAAGCTAAAATATATTGCATTAAATAATTTAACATAACAAGTTCAGACTCTAAATTATTTTACTTCTAAGATATCGGATTGTTTTCGGACTCTTGCATATCATTATATGTAACATTTAGGAAAATTCGCATCACCATATATAATAATTCATGTAAAGAGAAAGATTAAATATTTAGTAAGTTATGTTAACTTTTCAAAATCGTAATGTTTACCAATTTTAACTAAAAATTAAGAAAATTGGTGTTGCTAGTTTTCTAAATATTAAACACGATACCTAAAATATATTTTAATATTTAAATTTATTTGAAAAGAAATTTAGAAATTACAGTATGCTATCATAATGTATATTGTTAATAATTTAGAACACTTAAAAATTATGCATAAAAAGACTATAAATTATTTAGTAAGAATTCATTTGTATTAGCTTGAATAAGAATATCTACATCACACATTTTATGGTCTGTTAACCTGTTTTTGCTGTAATTAAGGTGAAGTTAGCTAAATTGGTAATCTAAAAAAGTTGACGCAACTTTAACTTTCTGGCGCTGAAGTTTAATTAAAATCGTAAAACAAAATATATATGTATAGTTTATATTGTGAGAGACTAATTTTTTTGGTTATAATTTGTGTCAATATATTTCTATGATATTATTACTTATTTTTTTAAAACAACTCTGAACTTAATTATTAATGCGTTAGAGAGAAAAAAAATTATGCGTTATATTATGTCATTTGTAAATAATTAAGAATATTAAAAAATAAATTATAACTACGTTATTAATATAGTTTCTATATAAATCAATCAATCTTATGTATTCTTCATTATTTATAAGACGATTTTGGTATTTGTCAATTGTATCGAATTTATTTGCGATATCTTCAACTTCGTCTTTTTTCAGTTTTTCTATCTACAGAATGTAAAATAATATATTAAATTAAACAGGTAAAAATGATAATAAACTAATTAATATGTAATTTTACAGGTCTGGCATCACACCGCTTGACTTTTGCACCCAACATTTTCAGAATCTCAAAAATTCCTACGTTAGGATCATCTATAAAATATTGATACATTAAATACAAGGTATTTAACATTTCATGTTACATAATTTTTATCAAAAATTAACAAAAATATAAAAAAGCATTTAAAGTAAAAAGTAATTATCATANTATTATTTATAAGACGATTTTGGTCTTTGTCAATTGTATCGAATTTATTTGCGATATCTTCAACTTCGTCTTTATTCAGTTTTTCTATCTACAGAATGTAAAATAATATATTAAATTAATCAGGTAAAAATGATAATAAACTAATTAATATGTAATTTTACAGGTCTGGCATCACACCGCTTGACTTTTGCACCCAACATTTTCAGAATCTCAAAAATTCCTACGTTAGGATCATCTATAAAATATTGATACATTAAATACAAGGTGATTAACATTTCATGTTACATAATTTTTATCAAAAATATAAAAAAGCATTTGAAGTAAAAAGTAATTATCATACCTAATTACATCCAATTTTGTTGACATGTAATTTAAAAAATTATCTATTGGGGTTTTAGTGAGACTGTGTAACCGAATCGGTAACGCGGCAGAGTTTGACGCGCAATGACTCAGTTTGAAACTTGGTCACGGGAGGTTTCATTTAACAAGCTAGAAATCAGTTCGGTAATTGGAGTTCACCTTCTCTCACTCCGGCCACTAACTAAGGGGTTATGTTTGAAAAACAAAATGGAAAGACATGTTATTATTTCAATGTAATATATTTAAGCTATTAATTTTTTTGTAAATATCAACGTTAAAAGAATGTTTATATAAAATGTATGAGCTTTTTGAATTTGAAAGAAAATTAAATTTTTTATTATTATTTCAGAATATTAGATAAATTTAGCTAGACCATGTAACGTCTGTAATTTTTTGTTGTTCCTGAACGCTTAATGACATAATAAACAGTAATCTGATAAAAATTAGTTAGATACATCTAACGTAGTCTTATAACATAAATACAGTGGAAAATCTTTGATAAAATTTCTGAGTAGGCACCAAGTTAATTACAGGAGCGCAGTTAAACAAATAATTGAAATAACCCCAGCTATTTTATGATTATACAAGTAAGTTTTAAACAAAATAAAATAAAAAAAAACTTTTACATAAAATAAATAAAATGATTCTAAAAAAAAGAATAAAATAATTATTCAGTTTTGCCAAATTTTTTAAATAAATATGGCTAGATATTTTAAGTGGTAATTTATGTTACATATATAATTAACTTTATGTATGTCAATAAAAAAAATTTAGAATATTTTTACATTCGAATATTAGAAAAATCATACGCAAAAACTATATTTTTGATAACTTTTATAAAATATATAAACAAATTATTTTTGTTAATTTTACATTAGTTGCTTAATGCAAAAAAAAAATTATTGAAATCATTCCCATTGTCGTTAAATATTTTTCTACAACATTGATTATGTATAATATTTTTATAATTGTAATATATTTAAAAGATTATATGCTAAAAACAAAACTTCTAAAATTTCAAATAGTACACTTAAAATAAAAAATTATGAGGTTTTTAAATTAAAAATTATGAAGCTATAATCTAACAGTTTTTATATGTCACAATGCAATAAAATACTCACCATACATATTAGGAAGTTCTGAAACAAAATAATTCAATTTAATCAAATAAAAACGGTAGAACAGTGTGAACTTGGTATTGTTGAGACAAATATAAATTTATGATTATAAATTGAAAGTTTACAAATATCATAAATAATCGAATTTTTGGCCACCACGAATAAAATTTGTAACTTTTAATGGCTCACTGAAAAATATAGAACGAGAGTTGGCGACCCACTGTGCGAGGCAATATAATGTCGGACCACAATAGCATTAAAAAAAAAAAAAATATTAAATATTGAAGACAATTTAATATTAAAAAAAAAACGGTAGCACAGTGAGGTCGCGGCACAGTATGGACGTAGCATAGTTGGGACAAGTATAGATTTAATCTGACATTGATTAATATAATATCATAAAAAAAGCTACGATGCAAATCTGTAAATAGTGTTGAATTTAAAAAAAAATAGTGGATTATTCCAAAAGCTAACTAAAAAGTTAGAGACACTATCGTATGTCAACTACGAGTGTTCCATGGTTAGCCAAGTTAAAAGTGATAACAATTATTAATTTGCGTGATTCAATCATTGTAATCATATTATTATAGGATAGTCCTTGTTAGGAGGTTTGATAATAAATGCACTTATTCACTATTATTCACGTTTCAATTTATGATATATGAACTTATTTAATTAAAAATTCAACATGTTTTAGACAATGTTTCTATAATTTTATTTAAAAAATCAAAATTTAACAAACTTCAAATGAACTTTGCTGCATGAACGTAACTACTGAATTAAAATAAGAGCTTTTGGTATCAAAATTTTTTTTTTTAATTTATCTATAAAATGGCTATCTTAAAATCTTAAAAATTTTTTAACATATTCTATATTGTAAAAATTGATTAAAAAAAAAAATTATAAAATGTTATGTAGATTATAACTTATATGAGTTGTCAGTTAGTTCCGTTCCACCCTATGCATAATTATAATATATAAAAAAATAAAAGGAAGTGGTCCAATAAAAAAAAAATTATGTTGCTTAAAAGAAGAATATAAATAGTACTTATATTAAAAAAATTATAATGATACACATTTTTCAAAATTTTTCAAAACATTATTATTTTAAATATTTAACAAAGAATTTTTTTACAAAAATCGTATTTATTTTATTAATATTGATGTCGATTTTCACAATAAAAACAAAATATAATGCGAAATTTTAATTTTAATTTTAAATTAAGTTTAATTTTAAACTTTAATTTAACCCTTAACTGGTATCGTCGGGTCAAAAAAAACCCATGACATTTTGTTTTTAACTTTTTTTCAATAGATCGCACTTTTTTCACTGTAGAATGCATTGTATTTTATCAAAATGCTTCAAACAACATATTACGTCTTTTGTTATCAACAATTATTTTTTTGTGTTTCGTATCATGTAAATATAAATATAAGCTATGTCATTATAAAAATGTGTGTAAAAATAATTTTGCTAATTTTAAATTATGAGATTGGTATTTTGAAAATCTAATAATTCTACAAATTCTGTATTGACAATTTTTATTGTATTTTTATGGAATTAAATATCACTAATATTACTCGAGTTATACAAAGGATGGTGAGTCTTCTTCTTTTTTTTCGCCTTAATCCCAACTACTTGGGGTCAGACGCCCTTATCCTAAGCTTCCACTTGACACGATCTCCCACATCTTCTACGCTCACATCAGCTGTTCTCAAATTGCATTCAATAGCATCCCTCCATCTCTTTTTTGGTTTTCCTCTACCTCTTCTTCCTTCAACATTCATTTCTATAACAGTTCTTACAGCTTCCGATTCTTTTCTCCTCATAACATAATCAAACCATTTAAGTCTATTTTCTCTCATCTTACAAAGGATGGTGAGTGAATTTATAACAATATGGTGCCAGATAAAATCGTTTCATAGGATCGTATAAAACTACCTTCGAAGTATGGCAAAAAATCTCTCTGTCTCACAAGTATAAAAAGGTTCACACATTATGCGATATCACCACAATATACGATGTNTTAAGTATAAAAAGGTTCACACATTAAGCGATATCACCACAATATACGATTAGTTGTGTATAAACACAACTTTCATTGAAAAAATACCAAAACACTCGATCATGTGATCGGGCTATCAGGTGATGAGATGTTTTAGAAGGAACATTAATATACTACTATTTCCGCTAAAGCATGTCGGGTATACATTCCAAGTAAGTAACTGGTTTTTAAATAGTTTGACTTAGCTTGCAAGATTTTAAGATACACCAGAATAATATACATTACGTTACCACATTGTCATAAGTACACCAACCCATAATTAAAATAATAATGTAATCCCAAGTCGACAGTGTTTTAACTCGCCCATCTTGTAGGAAACCTAAAATTCTAATAAATTTTATAAATATGACGGTTGATATTTGAAGACGCCTGCCATATTTAGTTAAATATTATGGGCACCTAAACAAATAGAAAAACTAAATTATCCCAGCAACAAGATTTTCAGTAAACGAACTCAAAAAATAAAAACTAGCTCAAAACATGAACAAAAAATGTTAATACGTTATCAGCCCCGAAAGCATAACGATAGGTTGATACGGTCGCTCATCAACAAGATGAAATTAAAATTACACCTCACGAAAAAAGAGCAATAGAAATCACAAAATACAATATTGTTTTTCGTTGTAAAATATTTTACAAAGAACACAGAAAATTATCGCTAACACCAGACCTTAACTCACACACGATGTGTCCCAGTTATCAAAATTAACAAGAATATTTTTAACTTCATATATTTTCCCTATAAATCAAATTGATTTATTTTTATTTTAACTACACTCTTTTTAGATTTTATGTAAATTTGAGAAAGTACTAATTCACTATAGGTGTGGTTTTTTGTGCCAGTCGAAATCATTACACTCGAAAATTGAAAAAATTTCCATCATTCCTAGTAAATAGGAGAAATCTCCGAAAAAATTACAAATTTAAAAATCAGTAATTATTTTAAGTAATTACACATAAAACAGGCTAAAATTTTTGAAAAATAAATAAATAAAAACAACTTTTTTAATAAAAATATTAGGTGTTTACCAATAATTTTAAAATATATATTTTTTTAAATATGACCCTTATTTTTTTATCAGTTTTTTTAACTTAATATATTCTCTATAATCCTAACCCAACCGTTTCTTCGTCTGTCACTCTATTTTATTTGTATTATTATCAATGTAATACTTTTCAAGTTCATCCTATATGCCTTGTAAGGGTGTTAACTTTGGTTTTTTAAAGGGGAATACATATTTTAAATTCAATAAAATGTTCGAGTTTTTAATTTAATATTAAATGTCAATTGAATTTTTAATATAACTTCAATAGTTTATTAGATATAAACATATAAAGTTACAAATTTTTAAGTTAATGTGCATGTATAATACACAAGGAATTACAAATACAGGTAGCTAATTGGTATTCTATGACATCGAAATTCGTAGGTCCACAGCATTTATTATCAATGGTAATAAGACACATTGTTGTAATTTTATAAATACACCAACTGGCAATACAAAAAGTATATCTATTGATACTCATAATTGACAATAAACAGTCCATGACTGTAACAATTATGTCATAAAAAAACAAATAGCTATGTGTATTTGTAATCCCATGTTTATAACTAATAAACTAAAAATGTTATATTAAAAACTCAAATATTTTATTAAATTCAAAATATGTGTTTCCAATTCAAATTAATTGGTGAATGTTAAAAGAATCATTCTATATAAAAATAAAAATTTATCTTAAAAAACGGATCTAAAAGTTATACGTAATTACCTCCAGATACATATTCGCTATTCCCAACCGTAGGACGAAAAAAATCAAAAAATTTAGTTATTGTTGCAGGAATATTATGATTTTTCATCAATACTTGAACACATTGTATTTGGAGTGCATTAAGTCCTTCGCCCTTTAAATATTTTTATAATATAATAGTTAAAAGTTTAAATAATAAGTTTAATAAATACTTACCATTGTGTCGGTAAAAAAACCAACTGAACAAAAGATTAGTATAGTTTTTAAATGCATTACAATGATTTTTCTATTTAAGAAAATAACAATTTAAAAAATAATTATTTAAATGTTTAAATTTTAACTGAATAATTTCTACGTAAGTTGTTTTGCAATTTATACTGTGATAGTGTAAATATTAANAAGTTGTTTTGCAATTTATACAGTAATAGTGTAAATATTAATTGTTTATTCTAAAATATTGTTTTCGTACAAAAAAAAGATTTTATGTACTTGACACTATTGTAGTTAAACATAATAACTCACATACTTCAAATTGTTTTTATAATTATATCATTTAGTGTTAAAATTGACTATTTTAAATATAAAAAATACATTACAAATTAAATACAAATTTATATGAACAACTTTTAAAAAATTGTCATTTTCTTGACGAATTAACGAAAAACTATAGTTATATATTTCTTTACTATAGTTAAGAAAAAGATGGTTAAAAAAATAATCGTATATATACGTAATTTTGCTACTATATGGCTTACGTTCTCTATAAAAAGTAATATAGATAATGTTAAAAACCTCATTATGTTTATAAATGAATAATATTATAATTAATTTCATTCTACTGCTTATGATGATCGCCCGTTTACAGTCACCGACAGTATTGTGTTGAACGAAGGACGTTTGGGTACATAAAATAGGTCCTGTATATAGTTGTGATTTTGTAACGAACATCTTAATACTAAATCTTTATTTTATGTCTTAGTATTCTACTTCTTATATTATTTGTAACTATATAATATATAATTACAAATATTATAGTGAAGTGATTTGACATAATAATAATTTCTAAATCAACTTTCCCGAAGCACGCTCGCATAAATGTGTATAGATGTTAGTAATTAAATAATAATACTAATTTACATTTAAAAAGTGAATAATCGACGCTTATACATATATATTGCGGTTATTGACTGCTCGAGTAGTAAAAATTTATCCAGTAAAATCAAAAATGAAAATACCATGAGGTCCTAAAATTTTTTTCAATAATTATCATTGATCAGTATAAAAATAATATCTTCAAAAATGTAATTATTTGAAATA